TACAACTGTCCAAGGGTGGTGACAACCCCTTGGCAGATATAAGTTGTTCCTCGCGAAACCTCTGTCCTGTCGTAGGGTTTCCTAAAAGGTATGGCTGCCTCACTCACCCGAAGTGGCAAAATATGTTTTTGAGAAAAAAAATGCAAAATCCTGCGTAAAGTGATCTGGAAGGTCCGCCTGCTGGACCGATGTGCTTGACACCGCAAGCAACAGTTTTGAGATACTGTCATTTAAGTGACTGGTCTTGCTGAGCAATTCATCATTGTAGTATTTCACTCATCCTCGTGCGGTGGAATTTGAACTCAAGTCTACATTACAACGTTTTTTGGGAATACCAACTGGGCTAGCTCAGCGAGTCTCAACGTTGGTCCAGAACCAGCATTGGCACCGGCTCCGACAAGCATGCTCATGCCCCATTCTCACAACATACCGTGGTTAGCGAAAGGTGCTCCAACCATTGGTTTCTTCCGCCTCGTGGGTTGAGCACCCATCGGCTCGCTTGCTCACTCACTCCTCGGTTCGTGTTTCAAGTCGGCGAGGAAGAGGAATTTCACCAGCATCCCGAACACGCAGGAACCCCAACAGTTGTGACGGTCACCTGTGGGGGTTTCAATCACTCCCAACCGCAGTTTTGTCCCCAATAGTCCATGCCGACGGGCACCCTGCGTCTAGCAAGGAAATAAATTCGATCAGACCCCAAAAAGAGGCATCGAGTCCAGGTCTTTGACTACCGTAATGACACTAAGACGTCACCGAGCTGAGCGGTCCTCGATAATTCAAAATTAGTTGGTTTTACTCATCGAGTTCCCTTATTGAGATTCAAACTCATGTCTATTTTTCAACAATTCATAGTTGTACCCATTGTTATAGGCTTTTAGGTTCGTATACGCGGGTTGACTCAACCCATAACTGTTCTAAAACTTCAATTAGTCAGCGGATGCCAATGAGAACCATTATAAGTAGAGCGTTGACTGAGTAGTGACCATACCACAAGACATGCATGAAGCATGATTTTTCCCGCTTGCCCATGCACTGAGGTTTTATCTCTTTAGCGTACAGATAGTCACTATACCGACCAGACATCGCCACGAATGATCACAATAGTGACCAGACACCTGCCCTCTCCGTGAATCACCGTGAAGCAAAGGCAGAAAGTCAAAATGGGTAGGGGCATGAGCAATATCGACATACTCACCGCTCCAAACCTCCAAAAACAGCCCGCTAACACTCCTGCCCACAATAACGATGTTCCATTAAAAAAAAAATAAAAAAATGTAGCCGCCGTTGCTGAACTCTGCCCAACATACGTCATGTTAGTCGATGGTTGTTCGCACCGTCTATGCCAATATGATAATCTCTCTCCTCACGAATCTTGTTGTATGCGGGTTCAACCACTGCCTCAAAATAAAGTCAAAGGTAATATTTCTAATCGGCAACACCGGTGACTGGACCTGACACCGACCATAACGCCGCCGCCTCCACTCGAGCACACATGTGTCACGATGAAACGTACCGACCAAAAGAAAAGAGCATTTAGTCATAATTAAATCAATAACAGAAGTTGGCCAACAATTGTGTCCACTCTACAATATCAACAAGAAAAATCAAGCGCGCCTCAAAATTGTAAGCGCACACACTTCCTACTTTTCCTTCGAACACACAGTTGGTCATAAAAAGAAAAGTGGATGCGGTTTGCGAGACCCACCCGACTTTCGCTCTACATTTTTTTGAATAAAAACTATTTTTTTGTCATTTGCAAGAAATCAGGTGGATACACCTGTAAGGGAATTCGCACTGACAACGCGAGAAATTGAATATAAACAACATTCAAATCCAACCCAGACATGCCAACCCTCTTTAAGGCTACGCTTTGGCTAATCCAAGCCCACCAGTTAGGCCCAAGACCTCCGATCTTCATCACTGCATGCACGAGGTCTAAAGGCCGCATCTTGGCTATCCGACACATCGTCCACAATACCTACGACCGACTTTCAGTTTTTAGCGTGCATGTGGTCCACCATTCGCACTTAGGTCCTACTTGATAAGATTAAAGACATCCCTCGGTCGCATGTCGGATCTTTTCGATTCGACCTTGTCGAACTTGGACCAGGGTTATGCCTTGGCCACGCAACACGTCGTTAACCATAAACAAGAGTGTCGAGCCTCGGTTCGGCCCAACGTTTTTTAGCGTTCAGTAAACGATTGAAATTGACCTTCATATTAGTCCTGACAACAGACTATGTCATCGACAACAGTTTTGGTAGTTGGATTCGACCAGTCATAAAAACAAACAACTTTAATAGAGTAAAAATACAATAAAAGCGAATAAATAAATAAATAAATAAAACGAACACAATTAAAAAATGATCGACAACACAGTGACCTCACGCCGCCGCACTTTCACTCGTTGCGGTAATGCGCGCCCATAGACAATCTCTAACCTAACCCAACCTACTCAAACTATCTTGAGCCTAACGACGTGGGCAGGAGTCACGTAAAAAGAGTGTGACACTGTTTCAACTATCGTCATGAATGCACCTTATGCGCCCTGCGTAAACCCGGGTAAATACCCTTGTAAGGGTATTTGCTCTAACAACTCTAACCATAATAATACAAAATAATAAGATACATCATCAAAATAAATAGTAACTAAAACTTTGTAGGACTTAAGTACTAAAAGAAGCATTGATGTAAAAGTAATAATTTCAAAACTCATAATCAGAACATGAAATGAAAGTTTTGCACAAATATAACTTTTTAAAAAGCCAAAAAAATATTTTTTTTAATTAAATCGCCTATAAAACAAAAGTGATGATTATACCAATCGATTTTCAAAGCAAATACTCGATTAAGAACATTGCAGATGATCCATTAAGCAAAAACAAAAAGAAAAAAAAAGATAAGGGGAAGGAGAAGAGAAGAGAGGGGAAATAAAAATTATGAGAGGAAAAAAAAGATAGAGAGAACAATTGATGTCTACTATAAAAACGAACATCAAACTAATAAGGAAAGTAAAATTACTTGAAAGAAAGGAGGGTTAAAAAAAAATTATAAATAAAAAGGGAAAAGAGGAAAGGAGGGAGTGAGAATGTATACAAAGAAAAATAAACAAAGTTGAGAAAAATATAAGGATAATAAAAAAATAAAAATAAAATATAAAATATAAAATATCAATTAGATACATGACCAAAACAAAAAGTAACTGCAACTTCGTAGGACCGAAGTACTAAAAGAAGTTCAACTTGCAAAACTCGCAATCAAAGTATGAAACGAGAAACTTATGCATTATAACGCGATTAAGAACATTGCAAAATGATATATTATGCAGAATCGAAAAGAAAAAGGAGATAAGGAGAGAGAAAGGAGGAGAGAGGGAAGATATAAGGTATGAGAGAGAAAAGAGAAAGAGAAAACAATTGAAGTCTACTACGAAAATGAACATCAAACAAATGAGAAGAGTGAAGCTATTCTGAAGAGAAAGGGGTGAACAAAAAACCATGTGAATGGAAAAGCGAGCGAGGAAAGGAGGGAGAGAGAGGGCAAAAAAAAAAAAAAAGAAACAGGGATGGGAGAAATACAGGGACAACGGAAAAAGAAGGGAGAGAAAGAAGTAACACATAAAATATCTATGATGGCACTGAGGACATAAAAAACATGTGTAAAGATATCATGAAAGCACAAGGAAAATGCAAGAAGATGAAAAGAGAAGCGGATGAGGAAAGGGATGAGCTACTGAAGGATAAGGTCCTGCTGTCACAGTCCATACACCCTATAGGTCCCTCTATGGATTCCATGGCTGACAAAAAATCTGCCAGCCCTGCAAGGGTGGTACCAAACACACCCAACCTGAGCTGCCATCGATGGACGGAAATGCCCTTTCAATGCCCTTCCCGTGCCCTTCCCGGCTGCAGCCTGCATACTGCTTCCCCATGGTCTAGAGTTCAACGCCCAATGGTGAGGCGTTATCATCCTTCCCTTCCCTCACTGCAGGCGAGGAACAGCTGAGCATGCCCTGGAAACAGGAGGTAAGTCGGGGGCAGCCAGAATGGTGCACGAGCCTCTACCCCCAGCCCATGGCAGCTCAGCGTCTTGTAAGCTCAGCACTGCAAGTAGGGGGTGCTCGAGCGGCAGGCGGGGACTTCGATTACCTGCTGTGCAGTGTGTGCGGCGCAGTCTCGAAGTCGTCGCTCTCCGACGACCCGAAAGAGGGTCGTGGAGGCCCGGAAGGGACTCTCACCGTCACCCTCAACAGCAAGCGAGGACGTTCAGGGGAGACCCCGTCGGGATCAAGCTCGAAAACCGGGGTTTTTGTCGCTCGGCGGGACATGTGGCATTTTCATGATTCACAAGTGTTCTTCGGCTTCGTCGTCAGGACTTGAGGACGTCCATCACTTTCAGTCACCTGGAGTAACTGGACTCACCGCGCTCATTGTCTATGGCCATGGCGATGGCGATGGCGATGGCGAAAAGGCATGGGAGCGGTTCGTCATCCTCCACAGTGATGCGCGCTACGTCCTCCCCGATTCGTTGCACCATCTTTCGCAGACATGCCGCTGGCAATATTTACCCTTGCGTGTGACATATGTCACGAGGAGAAGAGGTCGTGGCGTTGCGGACAGATAATCGCATCGCCAGAGAAATTTGTGGGGTTCTTATTGATGTAGAATGGTGATGCGTTCGAGAAAGGTCGACAATTGTTGTTTCTTAACCATTATTGTTATTACAATGACTGATACACCAAATAGTCAGTCAGGCATCATTAGGAGCAGCAGCAAGGCCAACGTCGGTCGCGGCGGGAGTCTGTCCTTGGGCCGGGTCTTCGTACCGATCGGTCATCAACGGCCGGGCAGTCTCCTCCGCCCAAGCGATTTTTTTGAGAAGGCGGAAGGGAGGAGAGATTCATCTTCAAATGGTACCAGATGCGCATGCGCATGATATATATGATGACTCTCTTTAGAGCGTGAACTGGCGGTAGGGTGTAACGACACGTGGCTGCAATGCCAACGGTTGAAACGGCGAGTTTGGAGGACGGCTGGCCAAGTGAAGAGGGAAAGTGGCACAGGAGTTTCTCAGGTCGTGGATGCACACACACACACTCACACACACACACAGAGAGAGAGAGAGAGAGAGAGAGAGAGAGAGAGAGAGAGAGAGAGAGAGAGAGAGAGAGAGAGAGAGNGAGAGAGAGAGAGAGAGAGAGAGAGAGAGAGAGAGAGAGAGAGAGAGAGAGAGAGAGAGAGAGAGAGAGAGAGAGAGAGAGAGAGAGACCAGGGGGGGGGGTGTCGTAGTTGATCGGTGGGAGGGCCGTGCACGATGTGGAGCACGATTTCAAGCTTGAAGGATAACATATCGCAGATCGCGTCCGATGTATTGGATACAGCGCAAGAATTGGAAGCTGGTGGGAACTACAGGGACGCGGACGGTAATGATGGACCGCCCGCGCTGTCCGTCTTCTCTCCTGTTCGAGAACAAGCAGATGAAGAACGAGAGGCGCAGGTGAGCACGACAATCTAGCTACCGATTTGCTTTCCTACCGTCCTCAACCTTATATAGCTGTATTTGGGGCAATTTGCAGTCTCGGTACAGGGATAATTACCAGTCGTTCTATTCTGGTGAAGACGGCAGTTTTCTTACTTCGATCCGGTTTCGTTTGATTTGATACGTCTGCTGACATAGACTTGGGGCCTCCGTCCAACACTCACCACGTGCACAAAGACAAAAGTTATAGTGGTGTATCTTTCCATGTCCTAGCGGAAGATTAATTCTCTATTTGCACATTTAGGGAGTGCTGGAGCGAGGTCCTTGGGGTTAACGATTTGCTTTTCCTATTTCTCCTCTCCATCTCCAGTTCAGTACGTGACGAAAGAAATTAAAACTTACAGTAAATTGAGGAATTTCACTTGCCATTGGGTTAATTGCGGTGGGGCGGGTGGAGGGCGGGGTTGACCCCGGACGGGAGAGTGAGGGTGAGGGGGATTAACGGGGTTAAAATATTACGGATACGGCAGAACTCATTTTTCGTGACGCGAAAGCTGAACTCCATAGACAACGACTCCGATGCTTTTGGTGCGGATTCAGGGTCAGGGGATAGGGAGGAATCGGTCGGGTGATTTCGTCACTTGGAGGGGGCCGAAGGTAATGACCACCGCTGATTGAGTGGTTGCTGGGAAGAGCACCCTGCTGCCGATGACCTGTGTAGAAGAGGAAGAACGAAGACAATCATTGGGTTTCCTCTGCATCATTTTTCTCCCCTTGCTAACTGGTTCGACAACCACAAGACAAGAATAACAAAAGCTTAGATTTATGAATTAAGGATTCGATGGACTGTTTCACTTGAGAGCGTGAAGGAGGACAAAGTTTACCAGCATCCGCTTTGATCTTGCCACTAGGCGTTTCATCCACGAATAGCACAAGAATAGCACAAAAGTATTGTACTATATCGGCACTCAACATCGTTCCGTTTTTTTTTACATGGAATAGCAGCTGGTGTGTCTACTCTAATTTGAATGATGACAGACGCAGGCGAGTGGCACATGCCATAGCAAGGGAGTGACACGTGGCATATCAAGCGAGTGACACGTGACATACCAACACGTGGCATAGCGAGCGAGTGCACCAGGCATAGCGAGCGAGTGACACCTGGCATACCAAGCCCTTGGCGTACCAGAATATCGCATCGTAGAGCTGCTGAAAAAAGAAAGATGTCGAAAGTTTCGAAACCATGCCTACTGTCTTCTCCCCGACCACGACGTACCCGATCATGACTGTGTCCAAGCTATGTGCAGTCATGACGTGTGTGACGTTGTGTTCGGAAGGAAGACGGTAGGCACGATTTCGGTCTCTCTGATCCGATGGTACGAACCTTCGGTTAGTCTGGAGCACAGCTTCGGTTAGCCTGGCAACACAGCTTGGTACCAACCTTTGGTGAGCCTGGCAACACATCCTGGCCAGCTCAGCGCTGACGTGTCAACATGTGGTGGTTTCTTTATCGCCTAATTTGGCAACGAACTTCGCAAGGTCGGCTCTGACACGTCAGCGTGTGGTGGTTTCGTGACCTATTTTGGTAACCAGCTTGACCAGCCTCTGCTCTGACATGTCCGGATGTGGTGATTTCGTTGCCTAATTTGGTAACCAGCTTGACCAGCTCAGCTCTGAGACAGGTCTGCTTGTGGTGGCTGAGGGCATACGCACGCTGGGGCTTTCTTTCTTTACTTTTGGACGTAGTTGCGGCCACATACATGGCCGCAAATGCGGTCACATACATTCGAGATAGTGCTAGTAGTGTGAGTACGCCCTGAGAGTAGCGCGTCATCGTTTTTTTTTTTGTGGAAAGACATTTCAATCACACATTGGAGAGTTGGGGCCGACCACCCCACATACAGGTCGGATCTGGGAGCATTATCCAGTTTCGCTTTTTACGGGACCCAGGGGACCCGGGCGAACCTCGAGAGAAAAAGGTAGAAGTTGATCAAAGAGGTCTCATGGGTATGCTATTCCTAGGGCGAAAGGGGAGAAAAGATGGGGGTGGGAGGGTGGGCCCGAGGAAAGGGGGGGGGAGAAAGCCTAATGCCTAAAGACAGTGTTGGCGAGAAAGGGGGGATGTTTGTGATGGGAGTGTTAGGTAGTGAAAGGGAAAGAGGGGGGCGGCTCCGGCGGCATTACTCACCAAATATCGAAAATGGGGAGTGCATCTTCACCTAGAAGGTGGAAAGATACACTCGGACAGAGGACCTCGCTGTACTACCGTCTTCGCACGAATAGAACGCCCGGTCGTTTCAGCTGTATTCGGGGCGACTTTCAGTCCACATACAGCGATAAGACGGTAGTCACCGCATATGTAAAGATAGCGAGTGCATCTTCACCTAAAATGTGGATAGATACCATCGGCTTTTCCTGTCTTTTTCAAGGTCCGAGAGTGTGTAAGATGGCGAGTGCATCTTCACCTAAAAGGTGGATAGATCCAGTAGGCTTTTCTTAATCTTTTATCACCGTTGGAGAGTGGTGGAGCGAGGCCCATATTCACCACACATATCCCGCTGGCGTAGGGCCTCGCCGCACCGCTCGCCAAACGTCAACATTTTGAATGTTTCAGGACCTGTCATCGTGGCGAGTGGTGCGGCGAGGCACTGACTATGGAATGGGAGGCAAGTGAGCATGGGGAGGTGTTTGACATGTGTGCGGCAAGCGAGGAGGGCTCCGCCGTGCGCGAGCGCGGCGAGTGAGGAGGCAATGCTCGCACCAGGACTTTTCCCGCTGAACGTGGTCGGAATGTGTGGCGAGATAGAACTGTTGTTCCCTTTCCACTCTCTTTTTTATTTTTATTTCATATTTGATTACTTCTCTACCACTTATGTAGCGCAGTTTTGTCTGTTTTTCAGCAAAGATGCAGTCAAAGATGATATGGGATTTGAAGCCTGAATCGGGACGCGTTTGTTGCGAGGTGCAGAAAATCGCGATTGACCTGCTATTCTGCATCTCCGCAATGAAACACGTCCAGATGCAGGCGCTTAATCCAATCCTCTTCGCTAGTGGGACCTCGCTCCTGACGAGCGCAGATGGGCAGGAAACTCGCCTCTCCCCCTCCCCCTGGGGACCTTCCCCTGGGACGAGGTCCTTCGGGCTGGACGCGTTTGTGGCGAGGTGCAGAAGTCTGCGATCGATCTGCTTTTCTGCACCTCCGCAGTAAAACAAGTCCAGATTCAGGCGCTCGATCGACTCCTCTTTGCTACAGGTAGTGTGGACCTCGCCCCTGGCGAGCGCAGACGGGCAGGAAATTATATTTTTATGGCCATCGTCTTCAACCGAATAGAACACCCGGTCATTATCGCTGCATCTAGACTGAAAGGTGACCCAAATACAGAAATGAAGACCGGGCGTTGTATTCGGGTGATGGAGACGGTAGCGCAGTTTTATTGCCGAAACGAGGGGCGAAGTACCACTTAACCCGAATGATCGATTTCTGACCGCAGATTTGGAAGATCAACGACCAGAAATCAGGGATCAGCGGCAGTGGGACTTGGCCCGAGGACACACACTTTGACGTCGATGCTTCTGTCCTCCTCAAGAGTATGAGCCTCGCTCAGCTACTCACCAAATGTGCAAAATGAATGAATCTTTCGCTAGAACATGGAGAGATACACCGCCATATTTTCTCTTTTGTGCACGTGGTGAGAAGTGGATCGAGGCCCTATTGGTCCTGAACAAGCTCTTTTTTTTTTTGAACCGAAGAAAAGAAGGCGCGGTAAAAGGCCGGACTTTATCCGATAATGATGATTTGGCGGGAAGAGTCCAGGTGGTCAAGTGTAGACCGCAGTTTCGCTTTTTCTCCCGCCATCTTCATCTTCATCTCCATCTCCATCCCCAGAGACACCAACATCGACAGCGACTCGAAGGACTTGAGTATAGATGTTGCCATCTCCATCTCCATCCCCATCGACAGCGACAGCGACTCGAAGGAGTGGATTATAGATGGAGAACAAGAAAATGAGTTGTTGGAGAGGGGGGGAGGTATATTGAAAAGAAGATGGAGACGACGGTAATCAGCAGCCGTCACCGGAGGATAATGTCGCTGTATCTAGACTGAAAGTCGCATGAAATAGGGCTATAATGATCGGGCGCTCATAGAATGAATGGATCCATCTTCGTCGAGTCGTCCCGTCTTCCTCGTCTCTGATGTGAAGCATCCTATCATTGTGTCGGTGCTCCATTTGGTGACCAGTTTCCCTGACGTAATTCACGAATGACCCATCCGTTTGATAATCTATTTAATAGTCCAATTTCGCTGACCGAATTTAATAAGCCATCTAGTAAAAGTTATATATAAACTGGACTTGACCAAGTGATTTCTGGATGGCCTGACTTTCTTCGTCAATTGGTTGTTTTATCGTGCGGGTGATGCGCGCAGCTTAATTGGTACAAGGCAGAGGTTCGTCGGCTTGCGGAGTCGGAGACGGAGATCCAGGCGCTGTCTATGAATTACGTCAAGTTGTTGAAGGAAAAAGAGGTAGATGCACTGCACCCAGCGTGTGCTCCGCAACCCCAAGCGCGGCATGCCTGGCATTTACCTCCTTCCCTCCCCCCCCTCCTCTCCGGCTTCCCCCTTGAACCACAAGAAAAGTGAAACCCGCCATCGACCTTCCCCGGCCACTCTCCTCCCCTCTCTCCCCCCCCTCCCTCTCCTCCGCCCCCCACTCTTTCATAAACGACGAACAGTCTCGTACAGTAATGCTTTTTTGTTGGAGTTGCACACTCACACACCCACACACCCACACCCACACCCACACCCACACCCACGCCCACGCCCACACCCACACGCCCACACACCTACACACCCACACACGCACACACCCACACACCCACACACCAACACCCACCAGCAAGAAGGGGAAATAAGGGGAAAAACTCGAGGAAGCGTGCGGCGATATATGGCCATCTCTCTTGGGAAGGGGTCCTTATGGTCAACGGGTTTGTTCTACAGACCGTGAAGGGTCTTTAGGGCATTCAGGGGTTGATCTTCCGACGGGTGGGATGTGTGTGTGTGTGTGTGTGTGTGTGTGTGTGTGTGTGTGCAAGGGGGCAGGGGAAAGAAGGGGGGGGGTACAGGGGGGCGGGGGGAAGAAGGGACGCGGAGTGGTGTTTAATTATATAATATCTTTTTTATTACCTAGTATGTAAAATATAGATACAGATGACATAATGCTGTGGAGAGTTGGGCGAAACACACTATAAGAAGGGGTTCGTCCGCCGATGCAGCTTGACTTCGATTTATTTGCTCCAATGCCTCTCGACGTTTGTGCAGGGTTGCCGTGGAGAAAGACCTCCCAGAAAAAAATGTAGCTCGCAAAATGTTTGATTTAATGGAGTCTAATTTCTCTGAAGAAAGGAATGTTATTTCAAAGGAAGAAAACGTAGCTGTAGCTTGCCAGCAGTCTTTTCTAATCAATGCCTCCTCCTCGGCAAATCACAGGGAGGGAGGAGGCTCCTCATAACCAGCCTCAGGTGGAAGCTGCCTGCCTCTCCTGATGACTGAATGCTTGCTGCTATGACCAGTAGCCGCATTAACGTGAGGTCATCCCTCCGCTTGATCTACTGACGGAACGAGGAAAGTGGCGATGTATCTTTACTGTTTTTATGGAACGGATACATGAAAGCAGCGAGGCCCAAAGTCTGTGGGTCTGTGGTTTGTGATGTGATTACTGTGTTTTGGATCCGCATCTCTTGGGATCCTATTTCCGTCCATCCCCCTCTTCGGCTACTCTGTCATCCTCCTGCGTTGTGGATGCGGGGTCCTCCTTGGTACTGTGGCTGGGGGGGGGCGTATGTTGTTCATCCTTTCACCCGCTCTTCACCCTTTTCCGAGAGTACGTCAAGATATTCCTCATTCTCCGTGTCTTCGTCCCTGCATTATGTTCCCCCTTCTCCTACTGCTGGCCTCTCCCCCCCGCTACCCTCGTCCCCTGCACTGTGTTCCCCCCTCTCCTAATGCTGCCCTCGTTTATCTCCGACTTCATACTCGTTGTCTTCTTGCTCCCTGGAGTGTGTTCCCCCCTCTCGTACTGCTGCCGTCTTCCCCCCAATACCCTCCCACTGCTCCTCCGTCTCATTCACCTTGTCTCTGTGTGTGTGTGTATTTTCCCCGCCCCTTCCTCCCGTTCTTCCCTTTCCTTCCTTTGCTTCCCTTCCTTCCCTTCCTTCCCTTCCTCCCTGCATTTTGTTTCCCCCTCTCCTGCTGCTGCCCTCTTCGCCCTGATTCGTTCCTCCCAGTGCTCCTCATTCTCCCTCTGTGTGTGTGTGTGTGTGTGTGTGTGTGTGTGTGTGTGTGTGTGTGTGTGTGTGTGTGTGTGTGCGCGCGTGAGAGTGCATGCGTTGTTTCCCTTCCGTCCTTCCCGTCCTTTCTTGCCCTTGTTTTGATGTTGAGTATAGCAGGATCATATAAATATAGAGGTAGCAGAGAAAATGCCCCTAGATCTACATCTACATCTACACCTACTATAAGAACTGCTAAACGTCATAACTCACGGCCTGAATCTACATCTACATCTACACCTACTATAAGAACTGCTAAACGTCATATCTCACGGCCTGAATCGCGTCGCGGACGGCCCAGATCGCAGGCCGATCAGAAAACTTCGCAGGCCGGTAACGCGTCGCGGACGGCCCAGATCGCAGGCCGATCAGAAAACTTTCTGATAGGCCTGCGATCTGGGCCGTCCGCGACGCGTTACCGGCCTGCAATTCGGGCCGTGAGTCGGGCCGTGAGACGTGCTCTCCTTGGTTCTCATTGCTCTCTCTCTCTCTCTCTCACACACACACACACACACACACTGCTCTCCTTTGCTGCTCGACGGGGACTTGGGTGCCGTGCTTGGATTCGTGCTCATCATTGATCCGTGGATCCGTGCTTCGATTCGTGCTCTGTCCATTGGTGCTCATCGTGTTCTSTCCATTGGTGCTCATYGTKTTCTCTCCATCGTGCTCATCGAGGATCCGTGCTTTTTTTTGGAGCACGACCACGTGCTCATCGTGGATCGTGCTTTTCGTCACCTGCTCATCGTGGATCTGTGCTTTTGGTCACGTGCGGACCGTGGATCCGTGCTTTTCGTGCTCATCATCGTGGATTCGTGCGGGAACTTTGGTGCATGATAATGTGCTCATCTTCGATCCGTGCTTTTGGTGGTCTGTGCTCATCGTGCTCGGTGCTCATCGTGGATACGTGCTTTTCATGCTCATCGTCGATCCGTGCTTTTCGTGCCACGTGCTTTTCATGCTCATCGTAGATCCGTGCTTTTCGTGCCATCGTGGATACGTGCTTTTCATGCTCATCGGCGATCCGTGCTTTTCATGCTGATCATTGATCCGTGCTTTTCGTGCTCATCGTTGATACGTGCTTTTCATGCTCATCATTGATCCGTGCTTTTTGTGCTCATCGTTGATACGTGCTTTTCGTACTCATCATCGATCCGTGCTTTTCATGCTCGGTGATCACCGTGGATGCGTGCTCATCGTGAATCCATCCTGACGTGCTCATCGTGAATCCATCCACCGGTGATCACCGTGGATGCGTGCTTTTCATGCTCGGTGCTCATCGTGAATCCATCCAGACGTGCTCATCATTGATCCGTGATTTTCATGCTCATCCAGACGTGGTCACCGTGGATGCGTGCTCACCGTGGATGCGTGCTTACCGTGGATGCGTGCTCACCGTGGATGCGTGCTCATGGTGAATCCATCCAGACGTGCTTTTGGTGCTCATCATCGGCCCTCCCTTCTTCCTCCCTTTCTCCTTCCTTCTTCAGATTGGCTGTTACCCCGTGGCTCCTCTCTCTACTAGCAACACCGTCAGCAATTTGGTTGAAGAAAGAGGGATGAATGTGGACACTACCTGCAGAAGATGTCAGTGGGCCTTTGAGTCCTCAGGCCACCTATGGTGGGACTGTCCAGCCTCAGCCCGAATCTGGAAATGGTGGTCGAAAGCCTGGGAGAGGCTGTCCAACAATGCCCTTCAGTGGGACAAATTGTGGGTACTGCTCGGAGGAATTCCGCAGAACCTCCAATTAGATGAGGGCTGGGGATACATCGCTCAGGTAACCGGAGCGATTGGCCTTGCAGTGATCTGGTCGGGTCGGAACAAACTGATCTTCAGTTCAGAGGACGTGGCAGGCAAGGAACAAATCAATCTGTTCAAACTTCAGATCCGGAATGCTATTGCAGCGGACTGGAGGAGGAAAGTGGAGAGAGCGTCAGATAAGCAGACGGGTAGGAGATGGTTTGGAAACACGTGGGGTAACAGTGGCAGTTTGGTAACGGTCAAGTGTGACAGAATGCTGGTTTTCTCGGATTGGTTGCTAAAGGGAGGGTAGGATAGCGAGAGAGGTGACTACCAACCAGGTGCACTCAGTTGTTATTTCCGCAGTAGGAAGTAAGAGGGATTGAGAGGGTTGGCGAGTGCCCAGGTGTAGGAGGACTGAGTTCCACCCTGACGTTTTAGTCGGGGTTTTGAGGGGGTCTTACCCCGACCTGTAAGTAGGTTAGTTTAGATTCGTTGTTTGGTTGTTTTCCTTTTTTAGTTTGCCTGTATTGGTTCATGATGTTTCTTTCGGTTGCTCTTGATTTTAAGGCTCTGCCTAGTGTTGTTGGGGTAAAACCCACATAAAAATGGTCCCAGCAGTGACGCTATCCTTTCCGGGTTGTTTGTGAGGAATTCCCGGCCTCATGGTTTTCATGATAATGGATTCCTTGCTTCCCCCCCCCCCCCCCCCCCCCCCCCCCCAAAAAAAAAAAAAAAAAAGATCTCACACCTTTACATCTACCCAGTTTGCACTGATGCTTCACCCCCCACCCCCCACCCCCACCCCTCGTTTCAGGAAATGCAAAGAAGCAAGGCTCTTATTTTACAAACAATTTGCTCTTCCGCTAGGCTGTTCTGAACTCATTGCAAGAGGCATGAGGACCCGTTAGGCGACATAGGGACGGCATTGGAGCAACTCACCTTCGGCGTTATGAAGCCAAATGACTTTAGCTGCCTCTACCCTCTGTTCTGGGAAGGGAAAATCAAGATTCCACTGGTGTCCCCTGCCTTCCCCCCTTCCCCTTTCCCCTCCGTGCCCCTCTGCGCTGAATCAGTTTTCACCTTTGCAGAGGCAGATGCAGATCCCGGGGTTTGATCCCCAGACCTCACCTCACCCATGTACAGTATCGAGTTGACCCTTGAGTGTTTGAACCCGTGACCTGTGTTTCATGAGTTGTTGTTTGTCTGTCGTAGGACTGTGTGGACATAGGGATTCGATCTGTAGACCTGTCGAGTAGAGGTCTTAGAGAGTTCCAGAAGTCGTAGCTGTAGATGTTCTGAAGGGTCAAAGTCGTAGCTGCTACACTCCTGAGAGGTCAAGGTCGTAGCTGCTACAGTCCCGAAAGGCCAAGTCCACAGACTTCCGGAAGGTCCGGAAGTGGCCTTTCGCAGCTTGCTCACGTTTTAGACTGAGGCAAGTGGGCAAGTGGTGGACCAACTGCAGTACGTTCGCAGTACGATAGCGGTAGGTTAGCAGTGCGTCCCCAGGCAGTCAGCAGTGCGTTCCAGTCAGTCCCAGTCCAGTCCAGCAAGTACCACCAGGGACTATGTGTACCATCGGCCGATGGAAAGGGGCAGACCAACGAGTTACAGAAGTATAAATCAAGAGGCAGCGCACAGCCATTCATTCATTCCTGCGGAAGCCATGCGGAAGCGCTSCCACGGTGACTTGTGCGAGGTGGTCTRCARAGGAGCCTGAAGTCGAAGTGGGCTGAAGGGAGTTAGCGCAGCCATAGCTGCTTGTAGACTAGAGTTAGCTGGCGGCCATAGCTGCCATAGTTAGTGATAGGTGTGTATTCGTGTGTGTGCAGAGTTGTGTGTGGAGTATCCAGGGTGATCCGGAGTTGAAGTGTGAAGCGAACAGTGGTGTTGGACACAGTGACAAGAGTTGCGATGTGTGGGTGCTGATGCACCATAGCCTGTTGAAGCGAGCTTACATCTGAACTGTGTCTTGGTTTCCATATCTTCGAGCTTTGAGTTGGGCGCTATGTGCCAGTGTGATTCACCATCTGTTTGTATGCATCTGAATTGACGAAGTATGCGAGTCTGATTGCAGCGCCCCTTGTGTTAATTTTTCTCCTTTTTTCTTGCATAGGAAGAAGTGCGAAGTCTTTGGACGCTTAGCGAGGAGCTGAAGGCGAAGTTGGCCACAAATGATGCAGAGCGAGCTAGAAAGGAAGCTGAAAACTGTCGTGCTGAGATTGAACAACTCAAACGGCAAAATGCGGTTCGTGCCACTCCTCCTTCCATTCCACCCCCCCCTCCCAACTCTTCCGATGTATTTCTCTCTGTACCGAGCTAGCTGATCTCTTGGACATGGTAGGAGCAAGTTTCCCAGGAACCATAGTTATATGATGATGTCTTAATCAGTTGTCGAGGGAAGTTCTACGATTCAAATCGTTCATCATCTGTACAATACTACAGTTCTCAATGGCCGTGGGTCCTGTGCACTGGCTGATGATGCGATCATGGGCGTTGGATGTGTGATGTTTGTGGTTGCGATTGTTAGTTGGAGTGGTTACAAGTGCAAGGAACATGAATATGGACGAAGCACAGAAATCCAGATTGCAAAATCACACTGAAGTCCAAGTAGTCAAAGCAAGAGCAGATAGCACAATGGAACCGAGTAACCATTTGAGAACGATACAGAAGAATCGTGAGTCAATGTCCAAGCCCAATCGGGCAACACCAACAGCATAACCCAATGTAGCTCTCTCTCTTGAATGGCGCCAGGCGCTCTACCTACTCTACAGCCTATCACTACAACTACAGCTATGAAGCAACCAGACAACTTGACGACCAGCGAGTGATGACGTCAACACCAATGCCGACCTCGTCTCCACCCAGGTACGCCCTTCACCTCCGAAGAACCACCTTCGCCCTTCACCCTCTGCGCACACAGGTAGCCCGGCTATGGCCGCCAGCGCCCTGTGCCCACAGGCAGCGCCCTACCGCCTAGCGCTGTCCTGCTTCCCTCAGCCTTAGCGCAGCGCAGCATGCATGCAACGCAGCAGTGTGCCGGCCTTGCTCGCAATGGCCAAGATCCCTGCCCACTCGCCCTCTCTGCCTATATGCCAGTGTTGCGTGTGGGCGGCCTCCCTTGAGCCTGCGCCTGGGCCCCAGTACCTGTACCCAGGCCCAATGCAGTTGGGGCCCGCGCAGTACAGTTGTGCCTCTTTCGTCCAGGCCTGCGTCCAGATTCAGGTAGTGGACTGATTTCCCATTGGCATTTTCGGCCTCTATTTCCAGTATGCAATGTCGGCCTGACGTTTATGTGCCCAGGGCCTAACCAACTGCAAAGGCCCTGGGATATCTGTATTTGCAGAAATCCGAAACTCGGTGCACTCCAACCAACTGGCGTGCTGCAACTGTATGGACCCCACTTCGTGAAATGTTGGCACAGAGGGCTCTTGTTGATTTGCTGGCCCGCCTTCACTTAGGGTGGGCACTAGGCTTGCTGGGGCCTTAGCCCAGAACATGTACATCATGGCAAGGCCCCTTCTTGAGGGCTCAATCCTCACACAAGGTGACACGAGAACTGTTCATGGGTGTGGATTGTGGTCGAGTCCTTTGATGTGTTGTGTTTTTTACATCGTACAGTTGCATTTTTCACGATTGTGTCAGATGCGGGTGCGTTTTTGAGAGGGCGAAGGTTAGCTTGCGAGAGGTGAAAGCAAATATTTTGCTGAGCCTGCAAGAGGTGAAAGCAAATATTTTGCTGAGCCTGCAAGAGGTGAAAGCAAATATTTTGCTGAGCCTGCTAGAGATGAAGGGAAAAAAAAAATAAAAAAATAAAAAAAATGAACGTAGTAAACGTACGTATTGCGATGGTGTCAGAATGTGTGTATATTTCCTAGAGAAAGTTTGAACCTCCGAAGATGCTTCATTTTGGGTTTTCGCCGTGTGACGTGAAGACGTATGATGTGTTTCTGAATTGTTTAGATCGCACGGTGGAATTTGTCTGAGAAAGGTCGTGTCAGAATGTGTCAGATTGGTGTTGGTTTCTCAGAGGGCGAAGGTTCGAGCCTCGTAACAGGCTTTCTTTTGGGCAGTGTAGCTTGAATTCTTAGTCTTTGCGTGTATCTTTCCGACGGGGCGAAGGGCCGAATCTCCCAGATTCTTCCATTTGGGTTTTGGGCATGTAACGTGAAAATGTACGATGGGTTTCTGAATTGTTTAGATCGCAGTGGGATTTGTCTGTGAGAGGTCGTGTCAGAATGTGTCAGATCGGTCTTGGTTTTCGTGAGGGCGAGGGTTCGAGCTTCCGAGCGGGGTTTGTTTTAGGCGGTGTGACGTGAATTCTTTGTCTTTTTCAAGACATTGGATGGGTTTGTCAATCGTTTAGATCGCACGGTGGGTTTTGTTTGTGAATTGTAATGCATTTGTAATCCGCAACCTTGGAGTGTTACGTAGACGGTGACGGTTCAAACCTTGGGTACAAGTGTGAGGATTGAGCCCTCAAGAAGGGGCCTTGCCATGATGCACATGTTCTGGGCTAAGGCCCCAACAAGCCTAGTGCCCGCCCTAAGTGAAGGCGGGCCAGCAAATCAACAAGAGCCCGCTGTGCTAACATTTCACGAAGTGGGGTCCATACAGTTGCAGCACGCCAGTTGGTTGGAGTGCACCGAGTCTCGGATTTCAGCAAATGCTGAAAACCCAGGGCCTCTGAGTTAGTTAGGCCCTGGGCACTTGAACGTGAGGCCGACAATGCATGCTGGGTATAGAGGCCGAAAATGCCAAAGGGAAATCGGCCCACTATCTGAATCTGGCCGCAGGCCTTGATGAAAGAGGCACAACTGCATTGCCCCGGGGCCCAACTGTATCGGG